AAAAAGTAAGTGGACTTAGCTTTGATATGTTTCTTGATATTTTGTGTTTATCTTTTAAATACATAAACTACCTGAGTCACTTCTAGGGTTTTCACAGATGATTACAATTACTAGTGTAAGTGATAAATTTTTATTTATAAATGGTGAATTTGATTGTTTAATTAAAGGACTTTTGAAATGTTCAATTAATGAAAATCTTAGATCTGGAAAAGTGCAAAATGATGGCATGTTTATAGGACAATTTGGCATGTCTAGAAATTCAGCAAAATACTTATGAGAATAAAATATGTGTTTTTGGAAGACAGAGTTGTCTGTACTCTGAGCAGGTAAAATTCCTTAATTAGGAATATCTCTAAGTAGATACTCTTCTGAATTTGGGAGAGGGAAAGTCTCTGGATACTTTGGCTGTTAGATAGGAAGTTATTCAGTGACACAGCATGTTAAAGATCTGAAAGAAAGATATTGCCATATTAACGTTTATAAGAAAAATTTCTTTTTCAGATAGAGTAGATGCATATATTATTTTACTTATTGTTTGCTTCTATCAGTGGCACATTAATGATATTTGATTTAAAGTGGTTTTTTTTTTCTTTTGGTTATAAGTCCTTTATAATTAAGTTTTTTAAAACTCCTTAGTGGGAAAGCATTTATGTATTACCGCTATTTAATGAAAGGCTGGAAGACTTAGTGAAGAGCCTCAGACTGGTCCTGATTTTATCACTATGATGATGTAACCTCACTATGCCTAATATTTCAGGTAGATAAAATCGGGATATTTGTCAGATTCTCTAGTAAAACAGAAAAGTTAGAAATCCCTTTGCTCTTGAAATTATCTGGCTGTATTCATTTATGTATTCTGATGTCACAGTGCCCTTATGCCCATCTTTTTCCTTATAAATAGTGTTAAGTACAGTAGCTAATTGAAGGTCTTTCAGATTGCATTCCACTGGAGAGAAATAATAAAAAGTTACCTCTTAAAGAGTTAGCTTTAAAAGATATTGACATTAGGTAATTACATTGGAAAATGTAGGTCTAGAGGGGAAACTGATATTGGAGAAAACATGGCTTAAATTTTAAGTTGAGTTTGAGGAGCTGGTAAATATCAGAGGGAAAATGTGTAGCAGGCAATAGGGAATGTGGAATTGAAGGTTAGGAGAGAAAGCAACAATGGAAAGGAGACTTTTCTTGGTGAATTGAGAGGGAGGGAGTGTCATCTGGAGGTGTAGGGTGGACTGGAGGGCTTCACTTTTGGCCATTCCTATTTTTGGAACTTTGAGAAACAGAAAAAAGGAGACTGGATAATTGTATATAAAAGGAGGAAGCCAAGAAAAGGAGTTTTAAGTAAGAAGGTTGGTTGTGGGTAATTTCGTTTCCTTTTTACTTCAATGATTAGTTTTTCTACGAGTCAACACGAATTACTTATGTATTAAGTAAAAAGCTATTAGAAAAAGAAAGGGTTGTTATTTTTAAATGAGGGAGGTTAAAGCAAAATTTAGACTTTTTTGATGGAAAAAGCGTTTAAAATATTGGTAACCTTACAGAAAACAATTTTCTGAATACAGAGTTAGTGAGTAGAAAGCTAGTAAGGGGGTGGGGATAAGATTGTAGGTTAAAGGGTCTGGCGAAATTTGTTTATGTGGGTATGTGTAATCATTTTTTCCTTTTGTAAAGTTAGACTTACTTGGGGAGGTGGGGGAAGCTGCCCCTAGAGTAGAAGTTTTTCAGGCCTATTATTACCTGTTATAATAATAGCTTTCCACCTGTGATGTTTTATATTCATTTATCCTAGAATTAAATCCTTGATACTGCTTCAAGACCTTATTATCTTCCTTATCAGGTTGTATAAAAATTTCAAAAAAAGTTCACACTTAACTAGATCTTGATGTCACAATTTATTCATTTTCATCTTTCATTATTGTCTTTCATTCTCCTAATAATCTCTTGAACATAACCCATACTTCTTTTCTTTTTAAAAATCCCACCCCCCCCCATCTCATCTCTATGGGTTTAAGTCCTTTTGGACCTAACTCAAAATTTTACGTCGAAATAGAATTAATACCCCAACCTACCTTATAGTGATCTTTTATTTCTGTAGTGTCTGACACATCGTAAGTACCAATAGGTGGAGCGGAGTTAAAGGAAATGGAATTCAGGTTGTGGCTTTTGAAAAATTTTGATGAAATGGGTTTAAGGGTGAATGTTGAATTGTCTGGGTTGATGACAATGAGAAGGTAAGAAGTTGTCTTGAAAGGTAATTTTGTGTTGTGGTTAGCAGCTTTTAAACTTTAGTATTAGCCGTTGTAGCTCTACCTAATGATGTATGATGACCCATTTGTTGCTTCAGTTCTTCTGGTTCTCTGATTGCTGGAAACGAGAAGCTTGAAGAAGGGCCTATAATTAGTGTCAGCATCTCTAACTCATACTCTAAAAGATTTATTGTAGCATCTTGAGGCCCATATCAATGTTTGCCAAACTGTTGAGAGTGATAACATAATTACTCAGATTTTATTATTTTTTTTAAGTTTATTTTGAGAGAGAGAGAGAGCGCGCGCGCATACGCATACCCAAGGGGGGGGAGGGAGAATTCCAGGCTGGCTCAGTATCAGCTCAGTGTGCAATTTGGGTCTCAAACTCAACAAACTGTGAGATTGTGACCTGAGCTGAAGTCAAATGCTTAACCAATTGAACCACCCATGTACCCCAATTACTCAGATTTTAAAAGGTTTTTGTGATGAAGAATGAGGCTAGTGATTAAAAGGAGGTTTTCCTGTTTGAACAGTTAAAGTGTATCTTTATTTGATCTCTGTTTTACAGTTGTACCAATCCATGGTCTTTTTTTCCTTCATTTTTAAACTTTATTGAGGTATAACTTACATGCCATAAAATACAACTATTTTAGGTGAAACTCAGTGATTTTTATTTTTAGTAGATTTAGCAAGTTGTACAACTGTCACCACAATCTAGTTTTGGAATATTTTTGTTTTCTCAGTAAACTCCCTCCTTCCAGTTTAATCTTGTATCCCAGGTCTAGGTAATTGCTAATCTACTTTTGCTCTGGATTTTCTTGAGTATGTCATGTCTGATATTTAGTATTACTTTATGTCTATTTGTTACCTTCTTTGGGAGGATACAAGGCGTTAGGGATTTCAGCTGGATGGACATTTGTACGGGGGCAGGTATATAAATATAAATGTCCCAGGTTGAGTTTGCTTGTGCTGTTTCTGCTGTCAGAAACATCCTTTTTTTTTCTTACCACGTGGTCTAGCTCTGTTGTCTGAAAGGAACACTTTTTTTCCTCACTTGCACTTTTGAGATATGTGCTTGTGTTTCTGAAGGCAAAGTAACTTAAAGAGTAATAAAATAAGCATTTATTTTCATGGTTCAGTTTTTTTTATAACTTGAATTCAACTACTTAAAGTATCCAATTCAGTTGTTTTTAGTATATTCAGAATTATGCAACCATCACCACAAACTTTAGAACATTTTCATCACCCCAAAAAGAAACTCTGTGCCTGTTAGCAGCACTCTCCATCTCCCTCTCTGCCCCCTGCCAACTCCCAGTCCTGGAGTATTGGCATCTTTCACACAATATATATATATTTTTTTTTATTTTATTTTTTTTAACGTTTATTGATTTTTGAGACCGAGAGAGACAGCATGAACAGGGATGGGTCAGAGAGAGAGAGGGAGACATAGAATATGAAACAGGCTCCAGGCTCTGAGCTGTCAGCACAGAGCCTGATGCGGGGCTCGAACCCACGAACTGAGAGATCATGACCTGAGCTGAAGTCGGATGCTTAACCGACTGAGCTACCCAGGCACCCCTCACACAATATATTTTTAAGGTTCACATATGTTGTAGCATGCATCCGTACTTCATTTTTTTTACTACCAAATATTTAATCATTATGTATGGATAAGCCACATTTTGCTTGTCTATTCATCAGTTGGTAGACATGGGTTGTTTCCACTTGAGGGCATTATAAATAATGCTGCTGTTAATGTTCAGGTAAAGGTAGTCTTGCCTTTTTTGTTGTTTTGGTTTTTTTTAGAGAGAGAGAGAGAGAGAAAGGGAGAGTGGGTGCGTGGGTGAAGGGCAGAGGGAAAGAGAAATCTTAAGCAGGCTCCATGCCTTGCATGGAGCCAGATCCCACGACACTAGGATCATGACCTGAGCTGCAATCAAGAATCGGACACTTAACCGACTGAGCCGTCCAGGTTCCCCCAGTTCTTTTTTAGAAAACCAGAAACAAATATGACAACTTTAGGAGTCTTTAACTTTTTCATACTGTTAATGAAAGTGACCAGGGTCCATAGTATAAACTGGAAAATAGAAAATGTGTGAAGAATAGCTTCTTTATAATCCTACCACCCAAGATACAACTATAGTAGCATTTTGGATATATTTCATTATTTTCTGTGTATGTTGCACTGGAATTTCATATAAGTGTATTAAATAATCCTATAGTTTGTATACTACTTTTATCATATGTTCAAAGCTATTGATTTTTAACTTTGTATTTAAATGTAACATGCATACAGAATAGTCATAAAGGTACAGTTGATTAATTTTCACAAACTGAACACACTATGTAAAATAGCCATATTCAGAAATAAAACATTATTAGCCCCTTGTAAACCACTTTCCAGGCTGTTAATTTTTACTGATTTCGTTTGTGTGTAGCCACTTAGTAGAACATCTCTACTGGGAAATTATTACTGAATTGGGGAAATAGACATTACCGAGGATGTGGTTTTTGAGCTGTTGGTGCCAGTGTAGGTTAAGAATGCTAGTTGGGATAAATGGGAAGGCGAATACAAACATCCAAAATATTTTAGGAGGTAGGTTATTAAATTTTTCTTTTAGTTCATAGTTGGTGAGTGATGGGAAATAAGGCTGGGACCAACTTCCAGGTGGGTAGCCTTTTGTGCCAAACAGTGGAATAAAGTACTGAGAATATTTATTGGCAGAAATTTAAAACCTGTTTTTTTGTTTGTAGGCACACAAGTCTCTGAATTTTGTTTCAACACTGCTTCAGATTACTATGTCGGAACAACTGGATTTACCTGTGAGACAGGCAGGCAAGTTACTAAATTATTTTCTTGGGTTTATGTAAGTCATTTATTTAAAAGGTTCACAGTTGAATAGCAGAGGTATGTTGGGATGGCCCTTCATTGATTTTCTTCCCTGAAACTTGGTTTGCCCTCTTGTGTTTACTACAAACAGCTAGTGCCTTGATATTTGGTGGCAGAAAAGAATGTGATATTTCCTTGAATTAAAAGAGAAGCTAAAAAGAGAAATTGATAAGGTTTATTAAAAGATTGTTTATTCCCTGTTTATTTGCCCAGTGGATGATTCTAAGATACAAACCTCTTTGTTTATCAGTTGTTCCTTTAATTTTTGCCTTTATTGTTTAAATCATTTAGAAAAATACTACAGTAGCCCTCATTTATCCATGCTGGATACATTTTAAGACTCTCAGTAATTGCCTAAAACTGTGCATAGTACCAAATGCTATATATACTACATTTATTTTTATACATACATGCTTATTGATAAAGTTTAATTTGTACATTAGGCGAGTAAGAGATTAGTTACAGTAACTAATAAAAATTAGAGCAATTATAACAATATACTGTAATAAGAGGTATGTGCATGTGGTCTCTCTCAAAATACCTTCTTTTCCTGTACTTACCCTTGTGATGGTGTGAGAAGATAAAATGCCTGTGCAATGAGATGTGGTGTGGTAGATGATGTAGGCATTTTGACATGATGCTAGGCTACTGTTGGCCTTCTGGTAATACGTCAGAAAAGATCATCTCATCTGCTTCCTGACTGTGGGTGACCGCGGATAACTGAAACCACAGAAAGTGAAACTGCAGAAGTGGGGGGAACTACTGTATTTCTTAGTTCCAGTTTCAACAAGATATTGAGCAATTCTCTCAGTACCAAATAGTGTGTGAAAATGTGGTACACTATTTCTGATATTAGCTGTTAGTATGCAAAATAATAGAATTCCCATCTTTAGGGTCCTGTTACTTAATTTATTTGCAGATGTATTAATTTTGTTATAGGAAATATAAAATACTAATAATTGCACCATTCTAGGAAAACCAGTTATATTCTGATATTATTTCTTGCTGTTCTTTTTCCCTACATCAATTTCGTTAAATTTTTTTTGCTTCATTTAATGTATAGTAATCATTTCCCTTTTCTTCATATAGTGTTAGTTTTAAAACTTATATTTCAGTGGCTACATAATTTACCATAATGTGCCATAGGCAGTGAACCATTTCTCAATTGTTAGCATTTAATCTTAGATTTCTTTCATTAACAATTGTATTCCCAGTACCTAAAATACTGCCTGATACACCAAAAGTAATTAAAAAATAAATGAATGCCTATAAGTTTATTATTTTTTACAATATTGGTATATAAGTAGCACAATAATAGAATATTTTTTATGTTTATAAAATATAGTGATTTCACTGGACCCTGGTCAGATGTAAATCTTTATTTTAACTGTCCTTTCTCTTTTACCAGTGAAGTTGGCATTTTCCCATTTGGTTATTCTTTTAAATAAGAATCTTTGACTTTAAAATATGAAATTTTTACTTAAGATGTTGAAAGTGGCATTTAGGGGCCTTAATATTTTGAGACATGATTATGTGCATTAACAAAATTAAATTGTGCTAGAAAGTTGTTTAGTATGTACAAAACCAGAAGCAGCCAAACTGTGGAATTAGTAAAAATTTTAAAATATAATAACTACTTTAAAAGTTGCATTCTTATAATAATTGAATGATCCTGGGGCACCTGGGTGGTTCAGTCACTTAAGCATCCGACTCTTGATTTTGGCTCAGGTCATGATGTCATGGTCCTTGAGTTCGAGTCCCATGTTGGGCTACACACTGACAGTACAGAGCCTGCTTGGGATTCTCTCTCTCTCTCTGCCCCTTCTCCATGTGCACGTTCTCCTTCTCTCTCAAAATAAATAAACTTAAAAAAAAAAAATTGAATGCTACTCTTTAGTATAGGGCATATGGTGATAGCAGCTGCTAGATGATAGAAATAAATACTCAGAGGCTCTATGCAGAGGACATAGGAGTGTATCAAGTCTTAATTTTAATCTTTGTTCTGTTTTGGAAGAATCAAAATTCTGGAAATAGTAGTAATCTAAAATATGTTACATATACTGAGTCTGTGGGGTTTTTTTAAATTATTTATTATTATTATGTTTTTGAGTAGGGGAGAGGCAGAGGGAGAGGGAGAGAGGATCCCAAGCAGGCTCCACACTCAGCATGGAGCCCTAACTGGGGCTCAGTCTCATGATCTTGAGATCACAACCAAAATCCAGAGTCAGATGCATAACTGACTGAATCACCCAGGCTCCCTGAGTCAGTGTTCTTTATTGTAGATGTAGTTTGTCTTAAAACTTTTGTTGAAGGGTATTTTAATGTGTAGTATTAATCTCTTTTGCAATACTAAGGGTATTTTAATGTGTAGTCTTAATCTCTTTTGCAATACTTTTAAGGCGGGATATTATTTTAATTCCCAAGATAAACAAAGTAGAATGTAAAAATCATAGATGTATTAGTTATCCTTATTCAAATAGGTATAAAACTCCAGGTAAGTGTTAATTACTAATCAGAGAAGAGCTGGTATTTTTTAGAATTTAGTAATTGATTAATTTTGAATAATTTCCCTTTCCTGTACATCTTATGCATTTGTGATTGAAGGTTCTCTCATGGGAAGGGGAGGACTGGATTAAAAGCACTGTTAGCAATCTAGTTCATGTTAACTAGCAATGTTCAAGATAGCAGTGTGATCGGTAACACAAAATAGGTAATCTGTAATTTTTGAACATAGCAAATTCTCCCATAAAATAAAATGAATTTGAAGTAGTACAATTGCATATTAATGAAATACTTAAATTTGTAGACTAGAGATTTTTATACTATAATTTTTCTATGATAAAAATAACAGCCTTTGTACGTCTTAGTTTGGGCTGCTATAACAGAATACCATAGACTGCATGACAGAAGTTTATTCCTCACAATTCTAGAAGCTGAATAGTCTTAAGATCAAGAAGCCAGCAGATTTGGTGTCTGATGAGAACCCACTTTCTGGTTCTTAGAACCTCACATGGTGGAAGGGGAAGAACCTCTAGGGTTTCTCTTTTAAATTTTTTTTTTTTTTCAACGTTTATTTATTTTTGGGACAGAGAGAGACAGAGCATGAACGGGGGAGGGGCAGAGAGAGAGGGAGACACAGAATCGGAAACAGGCTCCAGGCTCTGAGCCATCAGCCCAGAGCCCGACGCGGGGCTCGAACTCACGGACCGCGAGATCGTGACCTGGCTGAAGTCGGACGCTTAACCGACTGCGCCACCCAGGCGCCCCATAGGGTTTCTCTTTTAAATGCATTAATCACCTACAAAAGGCCTCACCCCTAATGCTGTCATTTAGGGGGTTAGGATTTTGACATAAACTTGAGGGGGGCCACAAACATTCAGTCTATAGTAGTGTTACTAATTGTTGAAGCTATATTGGTATGTGTATGTGGTTTTATCTTTAGAGGCTTCGTTTAGAAAATTGATACGGTGAAATTAAATAGCTTTCTGACAGAAAACAGGATAAAAAATATTAGGAATAAATGTGATGTAAAAAGTCTTTAGCAGTTTTGTTTGTATAGTGTGTTTATTTGCAGAGTTCTCTAAGGCTATATGTTTAATAATAACTTTATGGATCATAACAGTAGCTAAGAATTAAACTTGTATTTTGATTATCAACTTTTAAAATAATAGAAGGCAGTATTTTGTTTTTAAAAAAGGATAGCTTTACTGACAGTGGTTGGTCCGAAAGAAATAAATTGAGGTGTGGACACTTATAGGGGTATTCACAATGCTTTCACAGTAAATACTGTTGTCAAATTTATCTACATTTTAGGTGTTATCTATTTGAAAAATATGATAACACAGTATTGGCCTGATCGGGAAACAGCACCAGGAGATATATCTCCTTATACTATTCCAGAAGAAGATCGACATTGTATTCGAGAAAATATTGTAGAAGCTATTATCCACTCTCCTGAGCTCATCAGGTATATGTATATTTTTAAAACTTACCCATTGTTCCAGGTATATAATTTGTGGAGTTTGGGAGGGGGTCTTTCCAGAACATAAAAACCTGTCTTTTTTTTAAAAATTTTTTTTATTTTTTATTTTAGAGAGAGAGAGAGAGAGAGAGCGCGCGCACAAGCCCCGAAGAGGGGCAGAGGGGGAGATAGAGAATCTCAAGCCCCTGCTTCGGGCTTGATCTCACATAACTATAAGATCATGACCTAAGCTGAAATCAAGAGTCAGGTGCTTAACTGACTGAGCCACCCAGGCGCCCCTAAAAACCTGTCATTTTTTTTTTTTTTTAATTTTTTTTTTTCAACGTTTTTTATTTATTTTTGGGACAGAGAGAGACAGAGCATGAACGGGGGAGGGGCAGAGAGAGAGGGAGACACAGAATCGGAAACAGGCTCCAGTCTCTGAGCCATCAGCCCAGAGCCTGACGCGGGGCTCGAACTCACGGACCGCGAGATCGTGACCTGGCTGAAGTCGGACGCTTAACCTACTGCGCCACCCAGGCGCCCCAAAACCTGTCATTTTTATAGCAGTAAACTTAACAAATGCTGTTACAGGCAAATTTCTTTTTATTTAATTTTCTTACTGTGATTTTTACAGTTATAAAACCTAAAGGTTTTAAACTTACTGTAAAACTTGTGAAACATAGTGTGATCAGGTGGACACAGGTAAAAGAAAACTTTAGAATGCTGTCATATACGTTATATTTTATAGTCTTGGTTGTTGGTTTTTTTTATTTTTTAAGTTTATTTATTTTGAGAAAGACAGAGACATGTAAGTGAGGGAGGGGCAGAGAGATGGGGAGAGAAAAATCCCAAGCCGGCTCCATGCTGCCAGCATAGAGCCCAATGTGGAGCTCAAACTCACGAAACCGCCAGATCATGACCCAAGCTGAAACCAAGAGTCGAATGCTTAACTGACTGAGCAACCCAGGTGCCCCATATTTTATAGTCTTGATAATTTAAAAGCTCTTATTTTTATATGATTCTGCAGAATTTTTAATGAGAATAACTATGTTCTAAATGAAACTCGTCAGTTGATGATGGGGTGAAAAATAAAAAAATAAAATCACCTGTATTAAAAAAATTTTTTTGAGGGGGCTCCTGGGTGGCTTGGTCTGTTGGGCAGCCGGCTTTTGGCTCAGGTCATGATCTTGCAGCTCGTGAGTTTGAGCCCCGCGTCTGGCTCTGTACTGACAGCTCGGAGCCTGGAGCCTGCTTTGGATTCTGTCTCTCCCTCTGTCTCTACCCCTTCCCTGCTTGCACTCTGTCTCTCTCTGTGTCAAAGGTAAATAGACATTAAAAATTTTTTTTAAATTTTTTTATTTTTGAGACAGAGGCAGGGGAGAAAACAAGGGAGGGGGCAGAGAGAAGGGGAGCCACAGAATCCAAAGCAGGCTTCAGGCTCTGAGCTATTAGCACAGAGCCTGATGTGGAGCTTAAACCCACAAACCACAAGATCATGACCTGGACTGAAGTCAGACGCTTAACCGACTGAACCACCCAGGGGCCCCCAAATCACCTTGTAATTTGTTGGGTTTCTTTTAAATCAGTAGGAACAGGTAGATTTTGCTCAGGGGCTTACTTTTTTCTAAACAGCAATTTTCTTGGAGCAGAATTTTATCTAGGTAGCATTTCTTCCTCTTTATTGTTTATTTTTGACTTTCAGGGTACAGCTTACTACATGCATTCACCATATCATCAAACACGATTATCCAAGCCGCTGGACTGCCATTGTGGACAAAATTGGCTTTTATCTTCAGTCTGATAACAGTGCTTGTTGGCTAGGAATTCTTCTTTGCCTTTATCAGCTTGTGAAAAATTATGAGTAAGTGTCTCTCAATTCCTACAGAGATTTGAGAAGTAGGAAAAGCTTGGAAATTTTAAGGTAGTCTGTTTGAACATCTAAAATTACATTTGGTATATAAATATTAGTGAATTATATGTTGATTTTAATTCAGTATTTTCTTTTTGAAATAGCATTCTTATTTTAATTCTGCAATTGCTTCTGTTGATTCAACTAAGAAACTCCTTGTGCCCTTTTTTCTTGCTATGTTTCCCTATTCAAAAACTGAGTTATCTTTAATTCCTCAATATGGGCTCATCAATTTGTGCTGATTAAAGGCCTAAACTAAACATGAGCTTTTTTAAAATGTGAAGGGTAGCAGAGTACTTTGAGCATTAGAGCTCTTTATTTAACTTCTGGCTTTCTGTGAATTTTTTATCTTAATTTGGGGTCTTGATAAGATCCTTTAAGAAAGATATGTTGAAATTTCATATGATCATTTGTAATCATTGTATTTTGAGGGATCCTGTTTCAGTGTTTGCATATTTGAACAAATTATAGTTCATATAAGTAAGTAGTGTCAGTAAGACACATTTTAGGTTAAGGGATCATTTTAGATTTGGGGTTAGGGATGAGAAAAAATACATAACCTTGGAAGTTGAGGCATAGCACTAAAGGTGGTAAGCCAAATGTTGAAGGGATTATCTCCAAGTGTATAGTGAAAGTAATGAAATTTTTAGGCACTTAAAAGTTTTGACACTAGAAAATTATGAGGAAGGCATGAGGAACACTTAACACCATGATGGTGGCTTTATTTCCAGTCCTAACAGCTACACAGATGCCATTGTGAGCCCTCTAATTCTGGGGCTTGTAGTTAGCCTCCAATATAAATACCCTTTTTGGGTCCCAGCTCAAAGTAGCTGATGAACTGCTGCTTTTCTTCTGAGCAGGAGAGAAATATACCATTTACAGCATTGGTACTGGTGTTTTCTTGTGTTCCCACCAGCTACCCATCTTCCTGCTAAGGAATGTTCCAGCTGTTGCTCCAACCTCTGTCAGAGTGCCAGTTGTTGTAGTTCTGGTAAGTGAGTGATTAAAATGAGAGAGAATAACAATAATCTGTTATTGTCATTGAGGAGGTTCAAGTCTCTCCTGTCCTATAATCTTAGCAGGAGAGAGTGTGACAGGGATTTTTTTTTAATGGGAGACATAGGAGGCTGCTACAGTATTGGAATTCCAGTTCATTTTCCGCCAGTGTTGATTGTGGAGCACAAGGTGTTCACAAGGGATCTGTGTGGACTAAAGCAGTTCTAAGAAAATTCATGGAGAAATTGGAAGTTGTGGTGGTCTTCAGGAGCATAGATCCTCAGGAAATGCTTGTCAGTTGAAGGAGCACAGAAGGAGCATTTGAAGAGGAAAGCATGTCACACCATACGGAGTAGTATGAACAAAGAAAGGTACAGAGGTGGAAATGAGATACTGTCTTTAGTGGGTAGTGAGGAGACCACTAAATGGTATGGATAATTTCTGTTGAGAGGTGGGGGATAATTTTGGTCTGGTAATTGGGACCATGTTAAAGAGAGTTTTGAATGCCATGATGGAGAATTTGGATGTGATTCTTTTAGATGCTGATATACCATTGAAGATTTTTTTTGTTTGTTTTTTAAGAGAAAAGTGATGGACTAGTACTTAGGATTTCTGGTGAGCCTGGCTCACCAGATTGTCACATTGTAGCCTTGTGGTAGTCCGCTTTTATTAGTGTCATATTTTCATGCTTTCAGGAACTTTTCAGGTCTTATGGGATAGTGATTTGTTTCCTATCATAATTATTTTCACATACCAGTTAGTTTAGATTAGCAACTAATACCATCTAACTTCTAGTCCTCTCCTTGATATTGAGAGGGAGGTAGGAAAGAAGAATGTGTAATATGAAATGGGTAGTCAAACCCTCTTAATGTGAGTGATCATCTGGGTTGGATAAGTGGAGAGAAGCACCTAATATAGTTCTACCTTTATTGTTAAAAGGAAATATTTTTTTTTAAGGAAATATTTTCTATAATTACTATAGTTTATATAATCAGATTGGAGAGTGCAAATGGCTTCCTTTCATAAACTGTTGTGGTTTTTTTGACTCAACTGTGCAGATAATGTTTTAAAATGTATGCTACATGTAATTTCTTAGCACATTAAAATACTACTTAAAATAATGTCAGTTTATTGTTTAATAGTCTCTGTTGTTATTAGTGAGAACATTTGTCTTGGTGTTTTTTTATTGTGAGCAATTTACTTTGGTTCTAATTTCATCCAGTAGGGAAAAAGAATCTGGCTTTTTTACCTTTATCTTTTAAAAATGTGCTCAAATATTCAATTCTTAAATACATTTTCTTCCTTCAGGAAGGCTACCAGTAGATAAAACTGGAGTCTGGTAGGGAACACCAATTTAAAGTGGTTTAGATTAATCTGAAAAGATAAATTGTGTCTTTTAGAATAATGACTTAACAACTAGTCTGTATTTTGCAGAGCTTTTCTTCCTATTCCTTAATGAAGCTGGGGTGTCTTTCCTATATTTCTAGTCCATTAAGTTATTTAAAATTTTTTTCATTGAAGCATATTTGACAACTTTTTTAAGTTGAAGTATAGTTTAATTTTTTAAAAAACCAACAGACCTTTTTAAATAATACTGTTAAAAGGCCGAGAAATCTCTATGCGGAAATTTCTCACTTAGGTCAGCAATTCTTTACCCACATCCTTGAACAAATGTGATTCCAAATTCAAGATTTTTTGGATTTTAGAAAGGTAGCAAGGTTCACATAATACATGTTAAACACTCCTTTTGAAATTGAACCATCACTCAGTAGTCCAACACATTCTTGTTTTTTTCAAACACATTATTATATCTGCTATGAAATGTGTGAATATCCACTCTAGATGGGATAAGTGAAGGTCATAAATAGCCCGTTGAGGTCAGGTTTTGTTGCCAGATAGGTTACAAAAGACCTTCCTGTTTATAGTACTTTTAGAAGTAGAATATTTTCTGCCTTATAGATGCCATTTCTGCCTTAATGGTCTTGGTATGTAAATAACAAGGATGGTAATATACAATTGATTTTATGTCAGCTGCTAATATTTAAAAGTCAAGTCATTGTAGCTCCTCATTTGTATCAGTATTCACAAATAGAGATTGCATAGTGACATGGTTAAGAGGACAGACCTTTGATCTTGACTGATGAGGTTTATACCTCGATGAGTATACAGGGAAGGATACTTCTTTGTGCCCCAGTTTCCTCAAACCATGGAAGTAAGGATGCTAATGGAGCCTTGAAGATTATTGGCTTCATAATGAATGTTCAGAAAATTTTAAATATTTTATTATTATTTCAGGGTTTTCTTAAGTTGCTTTTGCTTGTGATTTGGTTCCATAGTTGGTTTTTCTTTTTCTTTCTAGGAATCTAAAGTTGCTTAGGAAGTATTTGTTTATATATTTATGTGAACAAACAAGCACTTTAATTTTGTAACTCATACATATAAATAAAATTGTGAAATAAATTCTTACAGAATTAGTTTGTATTCCTACCCAAAGGTACAAGAAACCAGAGGAACGGAGTCCACTGGTAGCAGCAATGCAGCATTTTCTGCCAGTTCTAAAGGACCGTTTTATCCAGCTTCTTTCTGATCAGTCTGATCAGTCTGTCCTTATCCAGAAACAAATTTTCAAGATCTTCTATGCTCTTGTTCAGGTAATTTTTATAAAACCGTTTTTATATGTAATAAGTCTGTCTTTGCTACATTAAAAGATAAAGAATTTACTTGTCTTAATTTCATGTGAAAATCTGGATCAAGTAGATCTCTTGCTAGTCAAATATAAATCGCCAAAATTGTAAGTACATTAAAAGTCTTACCAAGCACACTTCCCTAAATACACAAACAACTCCAATAAATCTTAAATTATAACTGGTCATCTTAAGCTCCCATAAACCATCTAACACTATTTACAAAATCAGTAAAAAATTTTTATGCCTTTCACCTTAAGCATTCACAAAGTCTGAAAATCAATTACTGAAATTACAGTTTATATCTAGCATGAACCTGATATGCCAAATGTACCTAGATTGTCCAAGTAATTACGAAACCTATTCCTAAGCTTTTTTTTTTTTTTT